AGAAACCTTCCTCAGCCTTACTGGATTGTTCTGTTGATCCACGAGGGTCTCTCATTATCGTTCCAGGCTACCATCGGACCTCAGAGGCTGTTCCAAGCAGTAGGGTTGACCATTCGACTGACTCACTCGAGTTCACCAAGGGAGAGATCTGTTCTCGTATTTATATTGTGCAAGATCTAGCCCGCACACAAAGGTTAGTACAGCAAACCTCTGAGCCAACCGAAGTAACGTGGGGACAAAGCTAGGTTAACGTGTACAGTTTCAACTTGCATTATCTCAGTAAGGGGGTTCAATGAAGTTAAAGGCTCAGTGACCACATCTGGGGCCACTGTAATTGAATCCACTAACTCGGTCTAACATGACTTTGACCATTTTGTGCTCCTTGTCAATGAAAACCCTTAGTCTAATGTAGAGGGTGGAACAATAAAAGAAGATTTCCATCGAGGCCAAGTTCAACAAATGAGTTGCTAAATTTCAACCTCTTGTTCCTCATCCAGGGCCTCATTAGTTACTTTTTTAGCGGCGGCATCAACAAACCAACGCCATTTCTCTCTAAGTATAGCCCTCGAAGGATAAAGAGAGCTAGGGGAAGAAATAAGCTCTACTGCCATTGAGGGGATGGTCCTAGATGGACGCTGACGAGATGGTTGAGAGGCCGAGTTTTTCTTTAACACGATAAACCAACAACACTAAAGAAAACACTATAAATTTGATAATACATAAACAATTGTAATAAAATACAACAAGAAAGTCAGAAGCATCAATACATCATATATAAAAAAGTCATAAAAATCAATAAAATATTAATGTTCTAGATTTTTGAATTTTAATTTTTAAGAATTAACACACACACACACACACACACACACATATATATATGCTGTTAGGGTATAGTAGGAATGCAAAACTTTTATAGGTATTTCGCATTCTTATTCGATTTTTTGTTAAATACCAAAAGATCTTCCATTGGCCTACCTAATTCTTTCGGATAGCTAAGGTTGGGTAAAATAGGATAGGATTGAAATTTGCAGGTAATCGAAAATTTGAACACCCCTACCGGCATTAGCAAAAGTATGTAAGACATTTTTTTAAACTAATCCCTTAGGCCTATAGATATTGAGAGAAATCAGGGAATCTATGACTATAATAGATATCATGGATCCAGGCTTGAGAGATTCAAATTTGTTTTATTATTTGCCTTGGATATTCAAATATGGTTATGATGGTTAAAAGTAGGGTTTGAACAATTAAAGCAAATATTAATCCTTTAATCTGACATTATTAGAACAATTGTGATGATCTTAAAGGATCTAACTGATCTTAGACTGTACTGATGTTCTTAAACTGTTGCTTGCTATTTGTCTTTCCTAATTAGGTAATTAGGGTTGCCAAATCTGATACTTGAAATTTTTTTGAGTTAATAACATGAAATACATCTCTCTCACTCCAGACAAATAACAGTTGAAGTGCTCATGTCACCAAAGAGTGATGGGAAATATAATAACACCACTTGACATATTAAAGATTTGAAAAGAGTGCAATGATCACATGGACATGGATAATGGTGGATGTAAACTAATTTGAATTAATGGGTTGCTCATCAGTCTGCTCCGTTCAAAATTAAACAATAATTAATATGGCCGGCTCTTTTGTGAGTTATTGATGGACCAGGCTCCAGCCCAATTATTATCATCTAGTTTCTACTCTTAAAGCATATCCGACTCTGCTCTCCATTGAGTGGATATTTAATATAACAGTGATATCACGTCATCACTATCACGCTATGTCATCATTTAATTAAAAAATTAGAAATATGTAAAGTGAATCTCACTATTTTCATAACTACCAGTAACTACTGCACTCAATCAGAAACACACAGGATGAGTGGAATCCACTTTACTTATGTGTTGTCTTCTAATTGGATGATGACATCATGTGACGGCAATGACATGATATACTTTAAATGTTTTAAGAAATACAAAAGAGAGAATTGTTCTTTATACCTTAAAAAGTTTTTAAAAATTATTTTATATTCTCAAAGATTAAATTTTTTACATTGTACCCTCAACATATTAAAAAATTTATATTATGACATTTTTGTTAGTTTTCGTTATTTATTCTGTCAATGTAAATGAGGTATTTTTTTTGACGAAATAAGCAACGAAAGCTAAGAGAAGATCACATTACAACTATTTTAATACATTGACATTGCAATGTATTAAATATAAGTTTTTAGAGTATAAAAAAAAATCTTCAATCTTTTAGAATGCAAAGTAAAATTTTCCTAATACAAAAGCACCGTTTAGATTTTTGAAAACTTTTCCATGGGAGCAATCTTCCAATATGTTATAAAATTCCCCAAAATTCTACTTATACCCCATTTTTTAAGGGTTAATCTCATTTTGTACTCCAAAAGATCGTTCAAATCTCAATTTGTACCCCCAAAAATTAAAAATCTCAATTTGCACCCTCAAAGATAGAAATTTGTATCAATGTGCACCCCTAAAGATTAAAAATCTCAATTTACACCCTCAAAGATAGAAATTTGTATCAATGTGCACCCCTAAAAATTAAAAATCTCAATTTGTACCCTCAAAAATAAAAATTTGTATTAATGTGCACCTAAAACTAAATTGATAAATTATACCTAGATCCCCTCATATTTGTCACTTAATCGTTTGAACCCCTTCACATTTAGAATATTATCCCTAAATCTCATTACGTTTGTGCATGTGTAACACATAACTAATTTTCGTTGATATCTGTTAATATAATCGTTAAAAAATATGATTTTATCCTAATAAAAAATTATAATTTCATATTACACTTTATTTTGTGGATTCAATATACTCTAAAGTTCAAAATCAAGCTTACCATTTGAATGTATAATAGAATGTAGATATTTATATAAAGGGTAATATGAAAAATATTATATAAATATCTACATTTTATTAGACATTCAAATGGTAAACTTGATTTTGAACTTTAGAATATATTGGACCCATAAAATAAAGGGTAATATGAAATTATAATTTTTTATTATGATAAAATTATATTTTTTAACTGTTATATTAACAGATATAAATGAAAATAGGTTACGTGTTATACGTGCACAAATATCATGAGATGAATGAGTAATATTTCTAAATGTGAAGAAGTCTAAATGATTAAGTGACAAGCATAGGGAGATTTAGGAATAATTTATCAATATAGTTTTAGGTGCATATTGATACAAATTTCTATTTTTGAGGGTGCAAATTGAGATTTTTGATCTTTGAGGTGCACATTGATACAAATTCCTATATTTGAGGGTACAAATTGAGATTTTTTATCTTTGGGGGTGAACATTGATACAAATTTCTATCTTTGAGGGTACAAATTGAGATTTTTAATCTTTGGGGTGCACATTGATACAAATTTATATATTTAAGGATGTAAATTTAAATTTTTGATCTTTCAGAGTATAAATTGAAATTCGAACAATTTTTCATAGTGCAAAATGATATTAACCTTTTTTTTTTTATATTGCAGCGGGGACGATTGCCTCCCACTGACTAAAACCCGCATTTGACTTTTGACTTATTATATTCTAATAACGGCTCCGATCATTTAAATTTGATGGTATTAACCTATGCACATATTTTTACATTTTTAAAGTGAAATTAATTTAATTATTTATATCTACCTTTTTAATCACGGTAAATATTTTAAACTAAAAGATTTTTACAACAATAAACAATTTAACCACGATAAAAACACAAGGTACTCTAGTCTTAATACGTTTAGTGTTAATTGTACCGAAACTTTTCAAAGTATAAGATTTGTCTTATTTTAGATATATTATGAATGAAAAAAGAAACACTTAAAACATATATGTGAATGATTTTAGGGTAATTTGTGCCTAAAAATACAGTATAATATAAATAATTTTGAGAAGAATATTAGTGATCATTAAATATATTTATTTGGAACAGTCAGATAAATTTATTGAAGCTAATTTTATTTTATATTATAAATTATTAATGTGTTTTAAGGTGACGGGTCATCATTCTCACTAATTTAAAAACTCAACAAAATTTTTTAGAATCGTCCACTTAAATATAATAATAATAAGAATAATGTTACATTGATTAAATTTTGAAATTAAATTTATAATCCAAATAATATGACAGTTAATTATTTATAATTTTTATTGAAACTCAAATGACATAACACTAATTAAAAAAATATAAATTAATTGTCATGTTATTTAAAATTTAAATTTAATCTCAAAATTTAATCAATTTAGCTGTAATAATAATCAGTATGGCCAGCTGCTTTGGTCTATAATTGTACGTAGACCCAGGCCACAGTCCAATTATTATCTACTTGTCGGTGGTCTGTCCACCTGATATGGAAAAACTATATTTTGGCCCTCTCAACTGTCGTCCCCGACTGACGCTGTCCCTTCAACTATTATTATTACATGAGTAATATTATATAAATTTAAAAATTAAACTTAATAATTTTAACTATTAATTTTACTATAAATTTTAATATTTATTATAATTCACTATCTATTCAATAGTTGAAATTATTAAATTTAATTTTTAAATCTACTTTTTAATTTATCTAGCATTACTCTTGTTACATTGCCCCTTCAATGATTAGTGTTTATTAATAGAAAGTGTTTCACTTTGTTTCTCAAACTATGTAACTTTACTTCATTTTGCGCTTACACATGGACATTTTTCCTCCAAAAGATACTGGACATTTGTCTTGGGACAATATGTGAAACTAATCGAAGTAATTGAGTGGTTAATATGAGTTTTAAAAGTTCAAGGGCAAAGTAAGATCGAAGACATAGTTTAAGAGGGTGAAAGTGTAAATTTCCTAACCTGCTCCATTCCAGGTTATTACATATACGTATCAATGATGACGAAGAAGGCTATTTTCTTACACCAGCCTCTCAGCTTCTCGTGAAGGATAATCCCTTCAGTCCTGCTCCATTTTTGCTAGGCATGCTTGATCCGATCCTGACAGAGCCATGGCATTATGTGACTGAATGGTTCCAAAATGAAGATGGCACAACGTTTGAAACTGCCCATGGGCAGGCATTTTGGGCATATGCAGGCCATGAACCGAGGCTTAACCATTTTTTTAACGACGCCATGGCTAGTGATGCCCAGTTGGTGTCAAGTGTGGTGATTAGAGAATGTAAGGGAGTGTTCGAGGGGGTGAATTCATTGGTAGACGTTGGGGGCGGCACTGGGGCAGTCGGAAAGGCCATTGCCGACGCATTTCCAGACTTGAAGTCCACGGTTTGATCTTCCACATGTTGTTGCCGGTTTGGAAGGGAATAAGAACTTGAGCTATGTTGCGGGAGATATGTTTGAGGCTATTCCTACTGCGGATGCTGTTTTACTCAAGGTAGGTAGTGAATCCCTTTTCATTTGTATTGGTTTAATTGAACTTTTCCCCCATAGAGTTTAAACTAATACCTTTTCAGTCCTGAAATTTTTTTGTAGCCAATTTCAACTTCATTTTCCAAAGGAAAAAAAAACTACATATTGTGCATCACAAGTGCTTTTTTCCAAGGAAAAGTCTACCCTACTGACTCGAAACCTGCCAAATAATTTTAGCAAAGTTACAGTGGTTTTGGCTGAACTGACGCAGCGGAATTTATGAATAATTTATATTACATAAAGGAAGATATGTAGGAATAATCAAAATCTTAATTGTCTCGTAATAAAGATAAAATCTTTAATTATATAAAAGTTATTAAAAAAAAATTACAATCTAACTAATTAACATAAACACACGTGTCGTATGAAGTCCAACCCAACTGACACTACAGAATTTGAAATTTTTTATAATTTATTATTAATTTTTAAATTATTTCTTAAAACGGCAAAAATAGAGTTTGAAGGCCTAAACTATAGACTTCGATCTAAAATTGAAGGAACTCGTGACAAAGCATGAATCTTGATCGTTGCCTCAATTCAAATCAAACACTACTAGTCTCAATAATTTTTGGGTTCGGACCATTTTACCACTACTATTACTTTTTAGCTTTTCATTTGGTCTTGACCACATAGCGACCTTTTTGCACCAAGTAATCAACAACCACTTAAATTTAAAATTTACATAGAGTCTAAACTTAGCCCATTTAAATTAGAACTTGAAATAATTGAATTATAACTTTTGATACTGTGCCAAAATATTAGCATCGAAAACACTTTTTTTCCGTAGATGGACATGATATGTCGACGATTTAACCAAGAAACTAATGTTCTCTTTTTCGTTTTTATTATAGACCCTTTTCGTGATTTTAAATTTTCTGATTAATACTATAATGATTGTGAATGACAAACATTGGATATTGCATGATTGGAGCGATGAAGAGAGTCTTTGTATACTAAAAAAATGTAAAGATGCGATCTCCATTGAGAATAAAGAAGGAAAGATAATTATCATAGACATTGTTTTGGAGAACAAGAAAGGAGATGACAACTACATTGAAACACAACTCTTCTTTGATATGTTGATGATGGTTCTGGTCACGGGCAGAGAGAGAAATGAGAAAGAGTGGGCAAAGCTCTTCTATGATGCTGGTTTCAGTGACTATAAAATAACTCCCGTACTAGGATTGAGGTCTCTTATTGAAGTTTATCCTTGATTCAACCTTTTATGTGTTGTCTTGAATCAAGAGCAACAAAGCGTGCAATAGCACTGGGTGTTCAAATTTTTGAATACCCATAAATTTCGATTCTATCCGATTCTATTGATCGACTATCCCAAAGAATCGGATAAACTAACGAAAGATTTTTTGATATTTTGCAAAACCTTTAATAGGAATGTGAAATACATACAAAATTTTCATATATATATATTGATGTGGATAATGTTAGATATAAACTACTTTGAATTAAAGGGATGCTCGTCAGTCTCACCAACTCCGTTCAAAAGAAAACAAAAATTAATATGGCCAGCTCTTTAGTGAGTTATTGATGGGCTAGGCTCCGGTCCAATCCTTATCATCTAGTTTTTACTTTTAAAGCATCTCCAACTGTGCTTTCTATTGAGTGAAGAGTAATGTTACATTAATCAAATTTAAAGCCTAAATAATATGACACTTGATTATTGAAAATTTTTATTGGGGATCAAATGACATAACATCAATCAAAGAAGTCCAAGTCAACTGCCATGTCATTTGGTCTCTAAATTTGGTCAGTGTAGTATTACTGTTGAGTGAATATTTAATGTAACAGTCATATCACGCCATTATTATCATGTGGTGTTACCATTCAATTAAAAAATTAAAAATAGATAAAGTGAACTCCACTATTTTCATAATGACCAGTGATGACATGGTGTCACCGTTGCAATGAATATATTTTCTCCTATTTTAGAGCAAATAGAAAATATCTTTTCTAAAATAGATAATATCTTTTGTAAAAAGTTAAAATATAGAGTTAATTTTTAAATACCACTTCAATATGACTCTTTATCCTTATCATTTTATCATTTTATATTTTTTCCTTTTTTGGGAATAAATTTGGCTTCCAACCCATTTTGCTTTCATTCTTTTAACAAAAATTAATGTATAAATTATTCTAAACCAAGATATACAAACCAAACACAAAATATAAACACCAACTTATTTAAAATCTATTGATTAATTTAAAATCAATATATATATATATATATATATATAACAAAGTAGCTAGATTGTTTGTCTTGAGTTTTTCGTGGTTTAGATCGTTTGAGAAAATTATTGATTCGATGGTCTTAATTCGAAATTTTCTCCCCTAATTTTTTTGCAAGACTTTTATTTCTTCTAAAATTTTAAGACTCATATCTCTCTTATAACTCTCTATCTATCTATCGCATACTATCTGCTGCTCATGCAACTCATACGTCTCTCTCAATTAGTTCTTTGTCCTTCTCACATACTGTGGCGACCAGTATAAAAATTAATCACTAACACATTAATTAGGTCGTTAATTATAATTCTATATAATTAATGATTATTTTTTGAAATTTCAAATAAACAAATGGACCTTTAATACATATTCTTTGCATAAAAACGAATCGAATGACTATAATATAAGTTATATTTCTTATTGAAATAAAAATATTATAATATTATAATAGTATAATAGGTGAATAATATATATATATATAAATTTTTAATCTATCTATATAATAAGTGAGCTAGCATTGTTTGTCTTAACCTTTTCGTGACTCAAATTATTTTAAGATTATTAATCAAACGATCCAAACTCTTCCTCCAAATTTTTTTCCCACCCAAAAATTATAAGAATTCTTTCATTTTATCCAATTATCGATTCGAATTAATATATTTAGGATTTCAATTGAGCTGAATATGATTATCGAGTATAAAACATATATTCTTGCTTAAACTTAACTTTGCTTGAATTTTACGAGTATTCAAGTTGAACTCAAATTAAAATTTATTGTAAAAATAATAAAGAATAATTAAATTTAAAAAAAAATTATGGTGTCACTTTGTACATGAATAGATAAAAATTAGTTTGTAGATTTAAGATAGAAGTGTTAATTGAGTTGAACTTAAATTCAATTCTCAATTTGACGTAATTTGATTAAGACTCAAATTGAGTTGAATTTGACTGCTGAGTATAAAATATAAATTTTTGTTTAAACTTAAATTCAATTGAATTTTACGAATATTCAAATTGAACTCAAATGAAAATTGATCTTAATTTCTTAACAAAATTTTTTGGATGATTTCTTCACAAAAATTACACGAACTTATACTAGAAAAATGGTGGTCAAATAATGTTATGAACTTTAGATAAAAACCTGTAGAAAAATAAATAGTTACATTTTTTTTTGAAATTTGAGATAAAATTTATTAAAATGTTAAAATCGTGAATGTTTGATCAATAATAATTATATTTTTTTAGATGTTTGAATTAATATGTTATATTAGTTATAACGTGACTTTCGTTATATAAAGATTTAATTATATATGTTATGCATATAAGTTGAATAATACCAATTTGATCATTGTATTGTTGAAATTGTATTATAGATTGTCTTTATTTATGAACAAATATTTGTAATTTTTTACAAGTAACATAGTGCCTCTAGACACGCGTAATTACTAGTATATATATATATTATATGTATGTATGTACACATACCAGTGAACAAGTTGAGCGATGGCCATCAATTAAAAGTGCTTCATATGGCATGGAATCAATAGAGTGTCAATTAATTAACAAGAGAAACAAGTTGAAGCAATAATTTAATAGTGTGCTTGTTGAGTTTGAAGATAAATTTAACTTCCTCGGAGAAATCCATTTGGTGGTTCAAATGAAAGGAAGAAGCAGGTTTGATGTAGTTGAGATATATTTACACTGAATATCTTAAACAAAAAGACAAAGATACCCTTGATTAGTCCAAAAAAACAGAGCAAAGGGTCAAATTGGACTCTATTTTTAGAGAGCTTAAATAGAGAGTTCATTAGAGATTAAATTTTAGGAGTTGACTCTCTAAAATAGAGAATTGAGTGATGGAGAGCCTATTGAAGATGCTCTTAGACCATCTTCGGTTCTTACCCAACCCCTTATTCAAATTTGAGTAAACAAAAAAAGATAAAAATCTTGATTTGATATACACCTCTCCAATTGACAAACTCTTTTAAAGGGAGAGAAATTCAAATTTATATAAAGAAAAACTCAAATTTAAAAGAAGGTAAAATATGATCTTTGAATCTTTAAAAGATGGTGAAATCTAACCATTAAAGATATGGATATGAGTCTAGCATTGGAGAAGATTTTTAGGAGTTTTTTACCCTAATTTAAATTTTAGTTTAGCAAAAAATAAGGACCGAAGGTGCTCTTAGCTAAAGAAGATTATATGCCACAAATTCTATGGTCCAACTGCCAAGGGAAAATTACAATTTGTGATGCATTTTTATATTTATTATCATTACCACCATCATTCCACTGCCACTGTCGCCCACCGTCAACACCCACCACTAGTATCGTTGCCCACCACCCACCCACCGCCATCTACTAGCACAACCTATCATCATTCGTCATTGTCCACCATCGCTGCCAGCCACTGTCTCTCATCGCCACCACACCTATCACCACCATTCGCTACCACCCATCACACTGTCACCTAAAAGCACTCGTTGTCGCCTACCATCATCATCGTCACTACTTACCACCATAACTGACCACTGCCACCGTCATTGCCCTACCACCACCACTACTAACTACTATCACCCTTGCTGAACACCACCCACACCACCTAAGACTTTTTGGTGAGCATAGAAAGTATCGAACTTGAAACTTTTTGTTTGCAAGAAGACATACTTAATCACTGAACTATCCCTGAAAGTTATATATGTCACATTATCCAAAAGCATTCATCATTATGATTTCGAGCACATCCACTGTTTGTAATAGTATGCCCACGTACTGGAAAATATTGATAACCAAATTCAAACATCACGCCAAACAACCCATAATGTTGGTGCAAAGTCTGAACATTAATTGAGCTATGCACATGAATTACAATAACTCCAAAAAAAAAAAAGGACCAATATTATATCAAAACAAATCTACAAGCACACACGGGTTCAATAAATCATGGTTGATTTCATCTTTAAAGTACTAGGGAATTCTATTAGAGTTACCTAGTATTAAAACATAAGTCCAGTGACTTTAATTTCAACAAGCAATTTTTTCATAGTCAGACACACAAAATAACCAGGGTTTGTTTCTTACTTTTGGATCCAAACATAAAATATTTGATGCAATTTGATGATGCATAAAGTTGACTATGCACAATCAAATCAGTTGAGTGTGTGATGTAAAATAATTAATGGAGCAATTAATAAAAGAGACAAAGATTGAGTGGTTGGATCTGAGTGACTTAACCACTGAAGGCGACAACGGTGGTCGGAGAACTCTATTACTAAAAAAAATATGAGATAGAAAGAGAGAGAGAAAGAGCAAAAGGATGCTCAAGATGATGTGTGTGTTTTGCCCCCATGTGTGGGGGGTTTACAATTTATAGGTACAAAACCCTAGCTATGGTGGTGACATGAAGGTCAAACTACTAAGTTATCAGGGGAGGATAGCTACATTTAGGGATATGATCTATCTTAGAGTAATGATCGTCCTGATGATTGTTCTCCTACGTGCGTTGACTTTTCTTGAACTTTTGAATTTTAGATTAAATTGAGATCATGAGTTAAACTTGATATGTCTTTTGATGATTTATGCTTAACCCATGAACAGAGTCCAGACATAAATTTAATATCAAACATAAGCCTGATAATTATTTACTGTCAGTGAATCAAAATTTGACAGTTACACAAATTTATTAAAAATTCTCAACATTAATTTATATATTTTTATAATTATCAAATTTTAATTAACAGTCTATAAATAATTAATTTACAGGTTACTTGAAAAAATTTATTCCCAATCGGTAATACACAACTCATCCAATTGAGTGCTACTGAAACTGTGCCTCCTTGGGAGGTAGAGGCTCTGATTGACGACATTAAAGCCATGATTGCACGCATGAGGTTATCCATCAGTTTTATCCCTAGGGAGTTGAATCGACCAGCTCACTGGGTAGTGGTCAGTGAACAGAAGAGGAGAATTCTAA